ACATGATACTATATAATATTTGGTAAGATTTGCATATAAAGGTTCATGTCCCTCAACCAGCTTTGCACATATTTTTTAAAAGAGCATATATTAATTAAAGACTATTCTTTTCACCTAAATATTGTATTTGTTGGCCCTACAATATTTTGAAATTGGTTTAGGTTTATAATATTGTTTGCATGACCAAATAAATGATGCATTTTAAGAAGTGATAAAAGTTTCAGAGATAGCAGTTTGATAAACTAAATATTAAGATAAGGAATAAAATGCCTACATAAACACGGTCTCTTAATCGCCTGCCTGTTGAAGACATTTGTTGGCTCTAATACTTTAAGAGTTAAATATATAATCAACCCTTTGGGAACCAAATTGCTCTGTCTTACATGGAAGAAAAGCAAATTTCAGTGGAAAATAAGGTCCTCTGGTGGTCATTTATCATCTCAAAGGGAGTATTTTATTAGAAATGTCAATTCTAGAAAATTATGTGTCCAGTAATACATAATTATGTTCAAAATTACATTTGAAATCTATTATTAACTGTTAACAGTGAACATTCTTAAAATAGTTATTGCTCTTGGCCTTAACACAAAAAGCAATAATGTGGGTATTTTAGGGAGTTAAAAGCTGCAAGGCATTGGCCTCAGAATAAAGCCACTGCAGGTGTGTTTCTTAATGGGCTGTTAATTTTATATCAGGTGAGCATAAAGGACAGAGACCATGTGTGTTTTTAAACTATTTAGTGTGGAGACAGAGTTGATGGCTGAAAAATACAAAGGTGGAATGAAATGAGGCCAAATTAAACCTTCCCTCCTGAGGTGTAATCCTCCTTGATTAAAATAAAAGCAAACTAATTCTCATTCCTTCTTTTGTATGCCTTTCCTTCCCACTATGACATAACAAAGGAGTCCATAGAAATGTATATGAAGGTAGCACATCAGAAATAAATAGCAAATATGTCAATAAATAATAATTATATGTTTCTACATACTCAACATCTTCTCTCATAGACTAGCTCCTTCTGGGTTTCACATTTTTTGGCTCTTAATACTATCTACTTCATCCCTCCTTTAGGCATCACACCTACTACCCTCTACAACTTTGCTACTCGTGTGTAACCAGTGAACAGTGCAGCACAGGCATCATCTGGGAGTCTGTGAAGAAGTCTGATGTCAAAAATTACATATTTAGCATTTGTATTTGAACAAGACTCCCTTTTTTGACTCTTTTTTTTATTGACCTTAAAAAAATTTCATACAAAATGCTTATCCTATTTAGTTCCTCTACCTTATCTGTGCTCCCCTTAGTACCCTGAACCCAATTTCATGTGGTGTGTGTGTGTGTGTGTGTGTGTGTGTGTGTAATTAAGGCCTGTAGAGTCAAATTTGTGTCCCCAAATACTCTTCAATGTGGGTTCAACTACTGGAACCTGGTCAACTTACCAACAGTCTCACCTTAAATGAGGCTGACTGTCCCACTAGAAGCAGCCACCAGTTGCCAGTATTTCATCTGGTAGGGTAGAGGTTTCTACCTCCATGCTGGGGTTCTTTCTGACTTGAGCTTACATGGGACTTGTGCATCCTGTCACCATTGCTGTGTGTTCATATGAGTAACTGATCAGCTGTCTGGAAAACTCTGCTTCTTTCTGGTATATCCACCTCCTCTGACATTTACAGTCTTTCTGCCCCATCTTCCGCAAGAATCCCTAAGCTTTTAGGGCAGACATTTGATCTAGGTGTCATATTCAGGGATGAATACTCTGTAGCCTCTTATTCTCTGTACATTTGCTAGTTGTGGTTTTCTGTGTAAATCACCATCTGCTGCACAGGAAAGCTTATCAGCTGAGAGTTGATAGGTGTGTTAATATATGCATATAACAAGAAGTCATTAGGAAAGGCTACCCTTCTTATACACATTAAAATTTGACAAGCTCTATTATGAAATCTTTTACATTTTCCCATATTTTTCTCCTTCTTTCTATGCATGCAAAATTATTTTTCATTAAAAACAGTTTCTGTACCTTTTCTACAGAAGCTGTTTGGCCTCACGTTAAATTCTGATGTTTGTCATTTCACTTGAATCATTGCTCTATGCGTCCTGTGTTGTTCTTGTGTCACCCTCTAATTCATCCCACACTCTGCCTCAAAATTAGGCTATGTAATATACAGAAACTTCTTCTTTATTTTTGCAGGTGGAGGGATTAACTGGGGCTTGTGCATGCTGTGAAGAAATATACCAGTGAGCTACATTCTAGTACTTCCTTCTACTAAAATTGTTTGATGATATACATATAAGAGTTTAATTGAAGTTACCCTAAAGGGAATTGTTCTCATCCCAGAAGTCATAGGTTAGCAGATAAAAGTCCAGTGCCAGGTGTAAATTCTTCCCCTAGAGTTGTTGGTTATGGGAGTCCCAGAGCACCCCCCCCAACACACACACACACCAAACAAGAGAGGCTATTGCTATTGCTCTTCATTGCCTGTGAAACCTTCACGGTCACAATGGAAACATTGGTCACGGGACATGGAGAAATCAAGGTGATACTAACTGATCTAGAA